GATAGACCCTGCCCTCTTTGCTAGACCAAAGATCCTCTGTTTTAGCTCCTCACTGGAAAATTCTGGAGACCATTGAACCATTGAAGACATAATAACAGGCCAGGCATAGTGGCTTATGCCTGTAATCCTAACACTTTGGGAGGCTGGGGCTGGAGGATTGCTGGATACCCGAGTATGAGACCATCCTGGGCAACATAGGGAGACCCCATCTCTACAAACATTTTTAAAAATTAGCCGGAAGTGGTGGTGTGCATTTATGGTTCCAACTACTCAGGAGGCCGAGGCAGGAGAATGGCTTGAGAACGGGAGGTCAAGGATGCAGTGAGCCATGATCATGCTCATGCCATTGCACTCTAGCCTGGGCAACAGAATGAGAACGTCTTTCAAAAACCAAAAGAAACTCATAATAACAGTACAATAAGTAACCAATGTCTGGACCCTTCCCAGGCTAGTTGAATCAAACCTCAGGGCTTCCTTTCTCGTAAAGATTTCCAGGCAATGCCAGTATGCAGCTCCCCTTGAGAACCTACCTCTCCAAAATGAGAGGTCAAAACCAAAAGAAGAAAAGGAATGAGATTAACACTTACTGAGGCCCTACTACAGGCCACGTGCTTAATCTTTTGTAATTTTCCCAGCAACTGGAAAATGATTCCCATTTTACAGATTTGGAAACTTCTCAATTATTTAACCAGAGAGGCTAAGCAATTTCCCTAAAGTCTCAAAGCTTGTAAGTGGCAAAAAGGAGACTTGAGCTTGGATTTGTGTTCATGTTACCATACTACCAAGCTAAGAAACACGCCACTGACCCACATTGAGGACTCAGAAGAAATCAAGTCAGACTTAGAGGAACTGGGGCTTGGAGCAAGTTAGAATTTTAGTAGAAGATATTTAGAGAAGGTTTCCAAGGGGAACTAACAATAAGGCAGAAATACCTGAGTGGGAGAGAGGGGGATGTTATATCAGAAAGGGAGAGAAGCAGGAAAAGAAGAGACAAAGAGTGAAGAAATATTTATATTACATTTACTATCCTAGTTTCACAACCCTATGCAGTAGGAACTATTACTATCCCCCTTCTGCAGGTGGGAAAACTGAGGCTCAGTGAGGTTAAGGAATATCTTCAGGTGACACAGCTGGTCAGAGGCATTGTGTGGGTTTACCTGGGTCCTGGATCCAAGTGCCTGGCCACGCATTGTTTATACTGCCCATAACTTTTCAAAGAAAGGGAAAGAGGAAGGAAAAGCAAATAGGATTTATTTTGTTTAATGGTCCAGAGCAGGCATTTTGCACTCATTATTTCACTGGTTCGCTTCAGGATCCTTGAGAGGTGAATACCACCTTCGATTTGCATTGAGAAAATGGAGGGTTGCCCCTACAGAATGGGAGAAAATTTTTGCAATCTACCCATCTGACAAAGGGCTAATATCCAGAATCTACAAAGAACTTAAACAAATATACAAGAAAAAATCAAACAACCCCATCAAAAAGTGGGCAAAGGATGTGAACAGACACTTCTAAAAGAAGACATTTATGCAGCCAACAGACACATGAAAAAATGTTCGTCATCACTGGCCATCAGAGAAATGCAAATCAAAACCACAGACACCATCTCACACCAGTTAGAATGGCAATCATTAAAAAGTCAGGAAACAACAAATGCTGGAGAGGATGTGGAGAAATAGGAACACTTTTACACTGTTGGTGGGACTGTAAACTAGTTCAACCATTGTGGAAGACAGTGTGGGGATTCCTCAAGGATCTAGAACTAGAAATACCATTTGACCCAACCATCCCATTACTGGGTCTATACCCAAAGGACTGTAAATCATGCTACTGTAAAGACACATGCACACATATTGTTTATTGTGACACTATTCACAATAGCAAAGACTTGGAACCAACCCAAATGTCCATCAATGATAGACTGGATTAAGAAAATGTGGCGCATATACACCATGGAATACTATGCAGCCATAAAAAAGGATGAGTTCATGTCCTTTGCAAGGGACATGGATGCAGCTGGAAACCATCATTCTGAGCAAACTATCGCAAGGACAGAAAACCAAACACCGCATGTTCTCACTCATAGGTGAGAATTGAACAATGAGAACACTTGGACACAGGGCAGGGAACATCACACCCCGGGGCCTATTGTGGGGTGGGGGGCAAGGGGAGGGATAGCATTAGGATAAATACCTAATGTAAATGACGAGTTAATGGGTGCAGCAAACCAACATGGCACATGTATATGTATGTAACAAACCTGCACGTTGTGCACATGTACCCTAGAACTTAAAGTACAATAATAAAAAAAAATTAAATTTTAAAAAATCAGAAAAAAAAAGAAAGAAAACTGAGGGTTGCCATGGATGGTCAAAGTATCTTAAATGAGGTCTCAGCAAAACTGAAGCAGCAGAGTCCATATTCAAACCCTAAGTCAGCTAACCCCCAACCCACGTGCCACAGAACACCACTCAAGTTAGAAAGAGTATTAAAATATTGAAGGCCAAAAACACAGCACATAGATCTCTCAGAAGGGAAAAATGGAAAATGGGAAAGGATGGAAATGGATTTCATTTTGTTGATTGAAACTGGGAGATGACTGAATGAGGAAATATTTTGATTTTGTTTGGCCAGGGAAGAGCTGTAAATAGGCAGCAGAAAATGGTTTGAAGAGAAACATACTAAACAAATGCCAGATATTCTTATCTTTACTGGTTATTTTGAACTTAGGCAAAATAATACTGAACAGAGAGTAAATAACCTAGACAAGTACTTCCCTTAGTGCCCACCTGGGACTATAAAATGCCAGCAGAGAGGTTCACATTTGATGGCACCTGCCCTTGAAAACTCAGTTGAAGTCACTTTGATCACTCCTTTCACTCTACGACTCTTAGCACTATAAATTCAAATTTTCATTGAAGTTCCTTTTGAAATTGCAAAATAATATTGTATATGCTTTATTTCAAAAATGTTTGAGAAAATGGGCAACAAAGGAAAAAGGGTAAGCCCCTGTAACCACCACCACTATCTAGTGAGTAGCCTTCCAGATCTATGTGCACGCCAACGTGAACACATGAGTATTATCAAATTAATTTTTGGCCAACCATAATTAAATTATTTGTTGTGATAAACAACCTTGGTTTATTCCATTTATATAGGAACTGGAGGAAGAGATTTTTAAAACCAAAATAATGGCTGGGAACATTGGCTCATGCCTGTAATCCGAGCACTTTGGGAGGCTAAGATGGGAGGAACACTTGAGGCCAGGAGTTCAAGACCAGCCTGGACAAAAACAAAAGTGAGACTCCCATCTCTAAATAATTTTTTTTTTTTTTTTTTTTTTTTACTCCAGAGGCTGAGATGGGAGAATCACTTGAAGCCAGGAGTTCCAGGATGCAATGAGCCATGATCATGCTAGTGTACTCACCAGCCTGGGTGAGATCCTGTCTCTAAACAAACTAATAAACAAAATAATTAAATTTCAGGCCTAAGAAAAATATAAGGCAGAAATACCATTTTGAATGAGAGTTGAAATATTCTTTTTTCAATTTGGAGTGGACAATGGAGGAAATTTGATGAAGAGCATCCATCAGCTTGCCTCCCCTGCAGCTCCTCTTACAGCCCTTACATGGAAGAAGCATTCAGTTAGTATTTCTTGAGTGAATGAGAAATCATTCCCTTTTAGGATGGTTTTTGTTTGGGTTAAATGGTATCAATACTAAGAATCATAGAAACACATACACCCAAATATAACTGTTATAGAGTGCTCCAATTTTTATTATCACCTATTTTGGAATATTCAAGCCAGGATTCACTTCCATTTTTTCCACAAGTGACATACAAAATTAGTTCCCCTTACTTTTTTATTTTTTATTTTTATTATTATTATTATTTTTGAGACAGGGTCTTGCTCTGTCTCCCAGGCTGGAGTGAGTGTCACAATCACAGCTCACTGTAGCCTCAACCTCCCAGGTTAGTGATCCTCCCACCTCACCCTCTCAAGTAGCTGGGACTATAAGCGCATGCCACCAGGCTCGGTTGTTGTTGTAGATACAGGTCTCACTATGTTGTCCAGGTTGGTCTTGAACTCCTGGTCTCAACTAATCCTCCAGCCTGGGCCTCCCAAAGTGCTGGGATTACAGGCAAGAGCCACCGTGCCTGGCTCCCCTGAGTTTTTTTTTTTTCTTTTTTTAACCACTTTTGAGTCTTTAAGACTGCCTCATTATTCATCACATTTCACGCACATATACTTGTTCTCCCAAATGAATTGTAAGCTCTGCAGAAGTAGTGGGGTTTCTTTCGATCTGTTTTGTATTCTTCCCAGCACTTGGTACATGCTCTGCACACAGTATATGTTAAACAAATGTTTGCTGACTTTACTGAATATGTTGACTGTATTAGTTTGCTAGAGTTGCTGTAACAAAGTCTCAGACTGGGTGGTTTAAGCAACAGAAATGTATCATCTTACAGTTCTGGAGACTGGGAAGTCTGAAATTGAGGTGTTGGCAGGGTTGGCTCCTTGGGAGGGGTATGAGGGAGAGTTTGATCCAGGTCTCTCTCCTTGGCTTGCTGATGGTCATCTTCTCCTTGAGTCTCTTCACTTCACCTTCTCTGATGCACGTCTATTTCTCTGTCCACATTTTGCCTTTTTAGGAGGATGCGAGTCAAATTGCATTAGGGGCCACCCTAGTGCTTTCATCTTAACTAATAACATCTGCAACGATCCTATTTCCGTATAAGATCATATTCTAAAGTAGTTGGGGTTAGGACTTCAACATGTGAATTTTGAGAGCACATAATTCTACCCATAATAGTGACCTTTCACCAAATCATAAACATTCAGCAGGAGATGAAGCTTTAAAAATCACGGTAGCCTACCTGATGCTTGAATCCTTTTTTTTACACCAAGCCAAGAAGAGCATTTAGAATTTTAACAGTATATTTGGCAACAGGGTTTTCGGGTTGATTTTATTTTTTAACGCCCTCTGTATGCTTCCCAGAATGGTTCCCGCTACCTACGCCTCGAAGCCTTCACGTTGTCTGGAACAGGTGAGTACTACCTCAGGAAGAGATCGTTAAGCAGGATTGGAGAGACATTTCCCTGGATCTCAGTCCACTGAACAGCAGCCCCTGAGCACTTCCATGTGGGGGCTCTAAGCTGTAGGAAGATGCCTCTGGGAGCCCCAGACCCCTGCGAGTCTGTTAGTTTTTCTCTATGAACCATTTTACTTTCAGTGAGTTTGGTCATTAAAATTGTTTTGTGTCCCTCAGCCATGCCCCAGGCCCTGAGAACAGGGAATGTTGGTCTGCAAGAAAACCTAGTGGGTTTATTATTCTCTGACACAGAGAAACCAAATAACATCATTGAGTGGCTATTGGAGGGGGGGCAACTTGATTCATGGGGGTCATGCTTTCCCAGGCCCTCTCTACGCAGTCTCGGCTCAGACCAGGGCAGACTTTTATTACCAGCTTTCAACAAATCCCTAGTTTCTTTTGCAAAGTAAAACAGATAATAGAGACATTCCGGGAATAGTTAGCTAACTAAGCTGTGCCAGGCAACCTCCGGGCTAAGAAGAACTCAGTGTTTTCGGACAATGACCAATTACAATAACCAGTATTATTTGATCTGAGAGTAATTAGCCGAGGCTCTGTTCTTTTTGCTTCAGTGAGGAGGCAAAAAGGGCAGTGAGGAAAACATCAGAGACAGGGGAGACGAGCTCAAATGTCAAAGAAAAACACACTCTTGCAGGTGGGGAGAAGTGGAAGAGTTTCACTGGCCAAGATCCTGACTGAACACTTGAACATTGTTTTTCCCTGAAAATATGGTAGAATTTAACTTAACCAAAAGTCGTTTGAATTCTTCATTCTTACTGTTCATATCCTTTAAAAAGCCTCCACGTCGAGTAAATTTCAGGGTACAAAAGAGTAAAATAGGTAGGGAACATAGAATTGTGGACTACCAGAGGATCTTTCACTGGGAGGGACAGGTCTCTCCAGGACACCTGCACCCTCCACTCTTATTTTCAAAAACACTGTATAACCTGAAACTCCCCTTTATTTTGGAGACAGGTACTAGGGAACTGCTGTTTATCACTTCATTCAAGACGTGCAAATGTTCTTTTGAACAGTATAGTCAGGCTCCCTCCTCTCTATCTAGAGATATGTGGATTTCAGCACTGCCCTGTGGCTTTCTTTCATGTCACTATCAGCTTCCAAAGTAAATGGCAACTCTCAACCTGAGAACCATCTTACTGCTCCATGCTGCTGCTGCAGCTGCCCCTGTCCCATGGCAGAAGATAGTTCACCAGCCTCCTGCTATCACCCCACCAGCCTTTCTTTCTAGGGCTGAGCAAGGCTTGAATTCTCTGAATACCTCTCTGGCTTTTCTGACAATACAGCACCCATGGCCTCTGCCCCTTCCCTTGTCCCCTTGCAATATGTATTCACCTTTTCTCAGACTTCTGGCTTCTCTGCTCAGATCTTTAATGCAGGAAGTAATGTCCAGGCTGGACCTGGTGGCTCACACCTGTTAATCCTAGCATTTTGGAAGGACAACGTGGGCAGATCACCTGAGGTCAGGAGTTCAAGACCAGCCTAGCCAACATGGCGAAACCCATCTCTACTAAAAATACAAAAAATTAGCCGAGCATGGTGGCATGTGCCTATAGTCCCAGCTACTCAGGAGGTTGAGGCATGAGAATCGCTTGAACCCGGGAAGCAGAGGTTGCAGTGAGCCGAGATCATGCTACTGCACTCCAGCCTGGGAGACAGAGTGAGACTCTGTCACAAAAAAAAAAAAAAAAAAGGGAAGTAATGTTTAGAGGTGTTTAGAGGTATGTTGTCTAATACAGTAGTCACTAGTCACATGTGACTGTTTAACTTTTAATTTACTTAAATTTAAAATTCAGTTATGTTGCACTAGCTGCATTCCAAGGACTCAGTAGCCACATTGGAGTAGTGACTATGATATTGGACAGAGCAAAAATAGAATATCTGCATCATCATGGAAAATTCCATTGGCAGCGTTAGCCTAGATTATCACATGGGAAAATTCTTGGCTCTGGGAAGGGCTCTGTGAAAGGGTTAATATTAGATGGGATATAGACTATGTACCTAGCAGGGTGCTACATATATTATTACATTTAATCCTTATGGATGTCATTCCCAGGTCAAAGAGGAGGAAACTGAGGCTGAGAGAAGTTAAGTAACTTGGCCAAGTTAGTCCAACTAAGTAAGTGGTAGAGCCAGGGTTCATCTGGTACCCGGGTCTCTGTGGATTTGGCCATTGAATCAGGTTGCAGATGTGGCGAGTAACAAGCAGCCGAAGTGCCACTGGCTTTTCTACACAATCCCTACAGAGGTGTGGTGGAACCATTCACAGGCCTGCAGATGGATCCCCAGGGCTTGCTTGAGGTTTGATGGTGATCTCATTAATGTGGGCCTAGTAGGTACGCACTCACTTTTTAGATTGATTGGTAAATTGTAGGACAGCTTCTGCAATGTTTCTTCCTAGTATTGGATATATTTCTTACTGTGGGCATCTACTACATCCCAAACTGAGAACATTTAAAAGTGCCTACTCTCTCCCTGCCCTGTTCCTCTTCCTGTAGGTCTAGGGGGAAAACCAAAGAACCCACTTGAGCTCATACTGACCAGCCTGTCCTGCACCTCGGAGGTCAGTGGCAGTGCTGTGAGTGGGAGACTTTTATACTCAGAGCCAGGCTGTGCTAGGAAATCAAAACTGCTGTCCCAGACCCTTGAGAACAACCAGATTTTAGAATTATGGAGTGATGGGTTAGTAGATGGTGTTTTACACAGTCACAAAACTCCATTTTCATTTTTTCTTATTGTTTGTGTTTCTATTCTGGACTTGTAAGATTACATGTAGCCGTCCTGGCCCCCAGCACATCTTTTAGGATTGATATACAATTTTAATTATTTTTATGACTTTTATAAGCAATGGGGCCTGTGGCAATTCAGGTGGGTTGGAATGAATTTATTATCCTTGCCCACAGGGATGAGCACTCTCTTAGGCTGCTGGCAGAAATGGAAACTGGTACAGCTCTTCTAGCTGATAGTATGAATCTACAGCTCTTCTAGCTGATAGTATGAATCAAATACTTTAACGTGTTGTATATATCCTTCAACCAAGGAACATCAATTCTAAGAATTTATCCTAAGGAAATATTACACAAACCCACAAAGATTTCTCTTTGAGAATATTTGTTACAGCATGATTTTAATAGTACTACCTCCATCCCAACAATAAAGGAAACAACTCAGATAGGAGTCTAGCTCTGTAAATTATGGTATGCCTACATAATCGAATGATAACAGCCAGTAAAATCATGTCCTAGAAAGTGATTCAAAGTTATGGCAAGATGATCAAGGTAGTTAAATGGAAAAAGTAGGTTATAAGAGCATGTATAGTATGATCCCATTTTTTTGTGAAACAAAAACTATACTTTACTTGTCTAAAAGCAAAGGACTGAAGAAAACAAAGACCTCAAGCAATGGTGATTATCTTTGAGTAAAGAGGATTATCTCAGAGTGAAGGGCTAGTCATAATTTTCCTTCTCAATAAGTACTCTGCAATAAGTATGAATTATTTTGGCATTGGAACATTCTCACCTCTTGAAATGTTACTAGAAGGAGTGATTTATCATAGGATTCTTTATCTTTAATAACAGATTCTCATTAATTAGATGGGTGGGTTTTCCTACCTCTGCAAGATACTCCTGGCATGTTTGGTAGTTAACATCACAAACCTAAGAGTAGGAATTCACATTTAGCTTATACGGAAAGGTGCTGGTAGGCAAATTTACATTTGTGATGTTCATTTTTTGTATGCCAATGTTTATTTTTAAAGTAGGGGTTGTAACCAGTGGATAATTGTTCCAGTGGAAGTTAGAGGTGGTAGCCATGTGTACAACTATGACAGTAATGGCAATTGGTAGCAAGCAAGGCCATAGGTGACAGGAAAAAGCATAATGATACAAACACAGAAGATGTCAGTAAATCATTTGCGCCCAAAAAGCAACATTTGTTCCCCCAGGACCCTTTTCTCAGCCTTGCAAAAAGAGCTCAATGTGCAATCGCAAGGCGGCAATCACTGAGGCGCTTGCCAATGGTCCTGCTACTAGTGCTGCCAGTGAAGGTTTGCGCTCATGTGGGGTGGAGTGGGCTTGTACAGGGGAGACCGACACACACTTGGCTCCTAGGAGGAAGAGCCTTCACCTGCCCACTTTGCCCTGGTGACCACCTCTGCCGGCGAAGGAGAAGGAGAAGCAATGTGCAGCAGTCATAGTTCAGAGGCTGTGAGACTGGAACAAGTCCAGAAACTACCAGAAGCCCTGAAACAACCCTGGGGGGAGGGTGAGGGTAGGTTCTCTTGGTTGAAATGGAAAGTCCTAAAAAAGAGGTCCTTGTGTCACTGATTAGTACCTACTCTTCTTTTATTCATTCACCTGGTTTTAAAAAAACAAAACCAAAAACCTGTTCTTATTTTGTTTTTTTGAGGCAGTGTCTAGTTCTGTCACCCAGGCTAGAGTGCAGAGGCACAATCATGGCTCACTGCAGACTCGACCTCCTGGGCTCAGGTGATTCTCCCGCCTCAGCCCCCGGAGTAGCTGGGACTACAGGTGCATGCTACCACACCTGGCTAATTTTTGTACTTTTTGGTAGAGATAGGTTTTCACCATGTTGCCCAGGCTGGTCTCAAATTCCTGGGCTCAAGCGATCCTCCCACCTCAGCCTCCCAAAGTGTTGGGATAACAGACATGAGGCACAGCACTCGGCCAAATAACCTGTTCTTATAAGAAAAGGGGTGCCCCTAATACCCCTGTAAGCTCCATTAGCCTTTCTTGGCTTCCCCAGATACTACATAAACACAGCCTAAGTAAAAACAATATATCTGCCATGCTAACACAAGTTTAAAACCGGTCTCCCAGCCTTCCCTGTCCAATCAGACTGTAGCCCCTCAGCCCCCACTACAGGGCAGTTCAGGAGCCACCTGTTATGGGTTAATGTTGGAGGAGTATGCGAGAGAACAAATCGCTGATTGGGGTGGGACTGTGGAGGTGGAAGCTGATATATGCATTGCTTCTCACCACCTACCTGCTCTCCCCATGTCCAGAAGTTAGTATTTAACCAGAAAGCGTGAAGCCTGCAGAAACTGGATTCAGGGCCCAATTTTGGCACAAACTTCACCACACCACCCAATAGTGTGGGTGGACCAGCTAAAATTTGTTCATGAGATTACCCCTGAGTCTCCTTCCAGATGGATCCTAGGCTCTAGTGATTTGTACTAACATTCTTCTTCCAAACCTCCATTTCATGGGCCCTAAAAAAGCTCTGCCTGCTTTCTGTGTCGATAGCGCTCACGCAAGCATGGTTAATGTCCCTAAAACCCGCTGGACTTTCTGTAAGAAGTGTGGCAAGCACCAATCCTTTCTGCAAGAAGTGTGGCAAGCACAAAGTGACACAGTACAAGAAGGGCAAGGATTCTCTGTATGCCCAGGGAAAGTGGCTACCGGTATGACAGGAAGCAGAGTGGCTATGGTGGGCAAAGTAAGCCGATTTTCCGGAAAAAGGCTAAAACTACAAAGAAGATTGTGCTAAGGCTTGAGTGTGTTGAATCCAACTGCAGATCTAAGAGAATGCTGGCTATTAAAAGATGCAAGCATTTTGAACTGGGCGGGGATAAGAAGAGAGAGGGCCAAGTGATCCAGTTCCAAGTGTCATCTTTTATTGTGAAGACAATAAAATCTTGAGTTTATGTTCAAAAGAAAAAAAAAAAAAACCTCTGCTGGACAGGATGCCCTGGATGACTGGATGAGGAATATATCTGCCAGACCTTCAGGCCACGGCAAATGAGTAGACTTCTACCTGATTCCTTTTTCTCCTAACTGGCCTGGAAATTTGCAAGGATTTGGAAATTTGCAAATTTCTTCTCTACCTTGTCTATGAAGTAATTACTCCTGAGTTTGAAGGTGGTTATCTGTTTGCAGAAACAGTTTCATGTCTTGGGAATCAAATAGCCCAAATTTGTTATGCAAATCTTATGCAAAAATTAGGTAAATTACAATTCTGGGCCAGGACTTCCAGCATCTCTGCATTGTAGCACTTGGAAGGGAAAGAATATCTGATCTTTCTTGCTTTAAGTCGGTAGGTGTATTTGAAATTAAGCAAGCCCATCTATATCTGCTTAACTGGGGATTTGCCGTGGTGTTTCAGGGCCACACAACTTAATTCTGAATGTCAGACATCAGTCCCATGAGCAGCTGCCCTCTGGGATGTGCAGTTTTCCCTCTTGTGCCTTTCCAGTTATAAACCTCTGTGTGTGTTGTGGAGTTGGGTGTACGTAAATGATTGGCATTAGATTAGCAAAGACTTTCAAGCATTGTAAGTAAATAGGAAACATGAAGACCCACAAGCCACCCTCCCCAGCTTCATGTCAGGCCTCTCTCCTCATTTTTGTCCTGGGCCAGCCAAGTGGCCTGATTCCCTTCTTTAAACTCTGGCTTCTCCCTCCCACTCTAGGGTCTGTGTGGGTACCACAGATCCCTGTCAGCAAGGCCTACCTCTTGCCTGCCCTCCTTTCTTCAACTCTCAGCTCAAATGCCACTTCCTCAAGAAATCCTTTCCTGACCACCTCTTCCCATTCTAGGTCAGGTATTGAGGCTATCTTAACCCTTAAAAAAAGGTCAACTTGAGGATTTGTCCTTACTGTGATTCAGGAACTTAATTATCTCTCTGCCTCTGCTCCATCTCAGGAGAACCAAAATGTTATACCTGAGCTGCTATAACTAACCTTAACTGGGTAATTGCCAATTAATAGAAATGTATTTCTCACAGCTCTGAAGCCTGGGAAAACCAAGACCAAGGTGCCAGCAGCTTAGGTATTGGGCAAGAGCTCTCTGCTTCACAGATGGCACCTTCTCACTGTGTCTGCACAGGGCAGAAAGGGCAAAAGGGCTCTCTCAAGCCTCCTTTATAACCCAATTACCTCCCAAAGTTCCTACTTTCTAATACTATCACTTTGGTAATTAGGTTTCAACATAAATTTGAATTTTGGAGAGATACAAACAGTCAGACCATAGGATTCTTTTCTTCACAGTTGTACTTAGACATCTGTGTGATAATTTGATGAACATCTGACTCCTCTATCTGAGCTGCCAGAAGACAGTCTTGTCCTGTGTCTCCCAAAGCCAACCACTTACTAGCACAGAGTAGTTGCTCAATAAATGAATTTGCTCATCTCCAGATATATATTTCAACATAAGGTCAACTTGAGGATTTATCCTTACTGTGATTTAAGTACTTAATTATTTCTCTTCCTCTGCTCCATCTCAGGGGAACCAAGAGAATTTTCTAGCTAATAAGCCTGGCTGAGCTTCAGAAATGCTGCAAACAAGTGTATTTTCTACCCAAACTTCACCCTCCAGAATCACCTCTTTAGAATTCTGTGCTTTTCCCCCTCCAGATTTCTGTGCTTGCCACCCTTGGAGTCCAGAGCCTCAAACATGTTTTTTGTTTGTTTGTTTGTTTGAGACAGAGTCTTGTTCTGTCACCCAGGCTGGAGTGCTGTGGTGCAATATTAGCTCCGTGCAGCCTCTACCTCCCAGGCTCAAGTGATTCTCATGCCTCAGCCTCCTGAGTAGCTGGGATTACAGGTGCACGCCACCACACCCAGCTAATTTTTATATTTTCAGTAGAGACAGGGTTTCACCATGTTGGCCAGTCTGGTCTCGAACTGCTGGCCTCAAGTGATCTGCCTGCCTTGGCCTCTCAGAGTGTGATCATATTTTGAATCAGGCCTTTCTACTTGGTTGTGCTGCAGTGTTCTTCCAAAAAGAATCCTTGATTATATATTTCTGTTTATAATATTATATATTATAATATATATTATATATAATTATATATATTATATATTATTATATATTTCTGTTTATAATATATTTCTGTGTCTTTTATGTGTGCATGGTGCCCAGACACACGGTGGAGGGCAAGGGAGCCGAGTGATAGAATGAGGAGATTTTTCCCCTTCAACTTAGTAACAGGACAGTCAGTCAGAGTTTAGTATGGGGGTTACTTTTCCACTTGCCATCAATTTTAGCAATTCCAGGAAAATTCTACTTAAAATCTAAGTCTAGTGATCTCCTTTTCTTTACTTTTTGTTTTTCTCCCGTTGTTTTTCAGAAGGGAGGCTGCTGGAGAAACTCTATTTTTCTCCCCCACTTTTCCAGGCTGGGCAGGGTTCCTGAAGCTGAAGCCCTGGCCTCCCAGATGCTGAAAGGCTTCCCCAGAGACCGCGTCTCCGCCCAGGAAGCACTCGCTCACGATTATTTCAGCGCCCTGCCATCTCAGCTGTACCAGCTTCCCGACGGTGAGCGAGGAAGTGTGTGCCTGTGTGCGTGCGTGAGTGCGTGTGCGTGACTGTGTGTGCGTAAGTCTTGGTGTCTTAAGTAGTTTGCCTCAGCACCGAAGAACCATAGCATTTACCCCCAGGAGTGAAGTTAGAGATCCATTTGCCTGGGAGAAGCAAGATAGGACCCAATGTTGTCCGAGTTTTGCATGAGCTTCTCTCAAACTCTGAAGCACTGGTGGGGAGAAGTTACAAGGACCTCTTTGTAATGGTGCAGACATTTCACAGGTACACATTTACACTCAGAAATTGGATGAGATGGACGTTGTCTCTGAGTTGTTTGGCTTAGCTACCATCTGCCAGGAAGCCACACCAGTGTTTCTAACAAGAGTCTTCTCCCTTTCTGCAGAGAGTAAGATGATAGGTGAAGCGGATATGTCCTGAGAGGGAGCTGGGCCTTTCTTGATTGGTAACAGCAAGCTGCAGAAGGCAGTGCCGGGGTGGGGTGCTGGGGGAAGGGAGGCCTCCTCCCAGGCTGCCCGCCTCCTGTAAACACAAGTTACCCTAGAATCAGCCTTTGCTGCTTGGGCCTGAAGTCATCTTCCAAATCTGAAATCTGCTGAGGGATCATGTGGTTGGAACTCCCGTCATGTTTCTCGGACTGTGGCCAGGAAGAGCTACAGGAGGATGTGGGCAGTGGTCATGGGGGACTATCCTTAGGTGAGGTTTCTTTGAAAAAATCCACCATTCAGCTAAAAATAGTTTTAGGAACAAGGGACAAGTAGACAGGAAAAGCAAAGCTACCAGGAAAGTAAAACAGAAGAAGAGAGAGAAGCAGCCAGGGTTGGTTTTAGAAGTCCTAAGCCAGAGAAAAGAAAGCTTAGGAGGGAGGGCCTAAGGGCTGGGACTGGGATGAGGACACTGGAAGGGATGTGGGGGAGTGGTGATGGGGTGCCGTGAGATAAGGATGGGGACAGGGTGAGGAGCTACTGCCCAAGAGGTGTGGAAACAGCCTGGTCCGCCTTGCCAGAGTTTGCAGACGCAGCTCCTCTGTGTCTAGGACATCATCCTGCAGCAGTCCAAAGCGCTTAGTTTGGGACTTGTTGAGGCATTCTATTTTATGACTAAAGTGAGTCATTTAGGATCTCCAAAAATAACCATAATCATACAACTGAGGTTAATGTCTTACTTAACCCTGTAGAAAGAGTCAGTCATTAGTATTTATTAAATTGCCATTAAGTGTCAAGAACATATTAAGTGCTATAAAAAGTGGAGGAAAACAAGAGACTTGTCCTTGGCCTCCAGGATCTTACGAAGTGGGAGGAAAAGAGGGCGAGGAAGAGGAAACGGGGCACCCTCGCACACATATCAGCGCAAATCATATCTAAACAGCTAAAAATCTGTGCATAATCAACTGCAGATGTGCAGAGACTATGTGTGTGTTGAAGGCAATTCTTTGGAGGAACAAGAATAATTCAAATGAGATGGATTAGACTGGAGGTGAATCTGAAGTGGAATTTGGAAGGAGGAGAGAGGCAGGGGTTAGCATATGGGTGGAACAAAAGACATTGCAGGCAGATGCACAATTCTCACTCCCTTCCTGGTACCTCTGCCCCCACTTTGGCCCCATTCCTCCCTGGCCACTCCCATCCCAATCCCCTCTTCCCAGTCCAAGCTTCTAGATTGTTCCTTTTCAGCTTTCTCCTCTCAGGCTTGGGACTTATAACTCTACTACTTCATGCAAGTGTACACGCTTGGATGTACACGCACACACACACACACACACACACACACACACTCTCCCTTCTCTCCACTTAAAGAAACTTGCCCCGTTGGCCCTCCTTTAGGATCTGTTATTCCACGTGCTGAGAATTGCTGGGGATCTTCAAAGTTTTCTAGGCTCCAGCTTTTGCCTGACGCAGGTTGATTAGGAAGAAACACTCACTGTCCAAACTGATGTGTTGTTAGAAACGTGGGTTTTGATTTTTCCTGGCTGACCCAAAAGCAAAGCCACCAACAGAGGGGCCCTGGTGCATGGATGTCTAGGGTTGTGTGTGTATGTGTGTATATGTGTGTGCGTGCGGGTGTGCGTGTATGTATGAGAGACAGAGAGAGAGAACGATCTGTATTCCTTCCCTGTTCACCCAGTCACAGAGCCCAAATCTACTTTGACACTTTTAGAAAAATGAAAAGATGGAATCTTGCAGGAGGCTGCCTGCACTAGTGGGGGAGACCAGGAGTGCTCACAGCAGGAGGGAAGTTGACTTTTCTTTATACATATAGGGGTTTTTCCATGCAGAGTTTAAATTATGCCTGATAAAAGGAGTTTCGTGGATGTTTCAGTTCTTTCAAATTCTCCTGGCTTCCTCCCAATTAAATGAGGTTTGTCAAAGCCACAGGGCTCTGCTGCTGCTGCCTCGGCGGACAAGCATTTCCTGCAGCGACATCTCGAATCCCCGAGGGAGAAGATGAAAGGGCCGGTGCCAAGAGACAGGGGAAGGCGGGGGCAAGATTGGGTGTGTGTGCCTCTGTGTGTGTGTGCTTGTGCACTCATGTGCACGAGCATATGTGTGTGCTTGTGTATGTGTGTGGCAGGGTGGTGGGCATGTAGAAATATGTATAGAGACAGATGGACAAGTAGATAGAAAAAGCAAAGCTACCAGGAAAGAAAAATAGAGGAAGAGACAGAAGCAGCCAGGGCTGGTTTGTGCACCTTCGTGACAGTGGCCCTCACCACCAGCACATAATCTACTAAGAGATGCGGTCCTTGACCTGGCAGTGCCAGCCTGCTTTTTCATTGCCCCTGGCAATGAGCCTTTATTAACAGCCTCCTTTGCAGACAGAGCGTACCAGTGGGTAACCACAGTTCCCAACCTGCAGGGACATAGAAACTCCATCCCTGAGGAGGGCTGCCCCAGGCATGAGAATTGTGCAAAAATCAGCATGCTCTTGTGAGTGATTTGTAAGAAGAGTTTCTCTGCCATAATTATGCAAGAAATTTTGCTCTCTGGTGGCATTTTAGTATACAATTATTTAAGGGCTTATATTTATATCATTTTATTATTCTGGTTTTCTTCTGGTTGCAGGATAACAGAGTTGTCACTTTAAAATACATTCTGTTTCCCCTTTGATCTGGAAGATGCCAGCTCTTATTGTCTGCCCTCTAAAGAAGACAATTAAAGCATAAAGCCTGGGACTGGGAAATACGTGGAGAGTGGAAGGACAGCCTAAATCCCAGTGCAGGAGCGGCATAGAAATTCCGCACAAAATGAAAGAATTGTTCCAGTCCATCTCTATTTTCATGACGCTGAGAAGTCCCGAACAACCCTTTCCCTAGGTTGTGGCAGTATGCTTAGAGTCAAAGGGCATTTATCAGGGGGTTATTTGCATGAAAACCAGGAATTCCAGGATTAGTTTCCTTTTGGACAGCACCTGAAGTGGAAAAGTGTGAATATTAGAATGGCAAGCATGTGGGAACTTCTGCCAAGTTCTGACATTTTCCCTCATTGACTCATGAACACCTGAAGAAACACTTGTTGAAGGAGAAATTATTGGTAGTCCCTCTCAAAACACAGCCAACGGCAAGCTAATTGCTTTTGCAGATGGCCAGGGAGTCTCTCTTCCCACTCAGACATCAGCTTATGGCCACACTTGTGGTCCTCGTGGCTGAGCCAGCAGGGCAGGACGTCAGCTGGAGCAGCTAGGACCTAAAATTAGGCCCTTGGCAACTCTCTAATCTTAGCTGCAGGTTCAGCTTCTTCATTTAATTCCCTTTGCCCTCAGCATGAACTTGGGCTCTGGGAAAGGAACACTGTTTAATGATTTGGGGGTGGGGGTAGTAGAAAATCATTAAGCTGCCCCTTCTCAGAACTGGCTCCGCTCTGTTCTTGCAGGAAACCTTCCAAATGTTACCCTTGGAAAGTTAAGACTGATTTTGGAACCTAGCCATTTTGAACTACAGACACTGATCCACGAAAGTATTTTTTATCTGAGGCAGTAAATGACACGTGATTTAAGAGTCTGGTCCTTAAGCCATGGTCCTTGATCGTCAGGACATCAAAGGCTGTCTCTCTTTCTCTCTCTCTCTCTCTGGGTTGGTCCCATTTTGCTTGTTAGCCAAGTCTCATACTTGAGTCTCCCATTCCTTCCTGAACTAAATCCCCTTCTCCTTTAAAACGGGTTTTAGCATCTTAGGGGGAAAAAATCTTAAAAGCTTGCAATTGTTCCACAAGTAATTTTGCAAAAATGCTGTACCACAGGCCCCATTGTTAGCGTATACTTATGTACACATAGGGATGGAAGAAAGCATGGCATCTACCTCTACCTTTGATCACACCACCCCGATATCTATACTCTGAAAGTTCTCCAGCGTGCCCCATTGCCCTGTTAAAATCTGAGTTGTATTTTGTTTTGGTTCAATGAAAGAACTTCAGGCCTCTTCTTTGAGTGTTGTCTCCTTAATATATTCGAAGGTCCCTATGATATCACTTCCCAAAGGCCACTTTAGGCTGAATTCCTTGAACTTTTGTTTCTGAATGCAAATTCTGTTTCTCCCACTTTTTAGTCATTTTGTTTTATTGTTCTCTTCTGAATCTGTTCCAATTCTTTTGCTTATGTCTGAGAATATGGAGGCAGCTTAGACTCAAATTTCTTGCATGGTGGGAGAATCATGTTCCATTCATTCATTGGAGGTTTACTGAGTGTCTATGAGGTGCGATATTAAAGGATACAAAAATGAATTCGTCATGGACCCTGTCCTCAAAGAGCTTACAGTCCTTTAGGAAATAAGACAAGTATATAAACAGCTGCAGATCAAGTAAACAAATAAAGTGCTCTAAGTGTTCGAAGGAGGTGAGATTAACTCTAGCTGTGGGGATCCAGGATGATTTTGTGAGTGGGCCTTGAAAGATGATAGGTCTGGGATTGGGGAGGAAGGGCATACGGGGAAAGGAATGTCATGTTCCTCTCAATACCATCTCAGATCATTCCGAAGTTGTCTTATTTTTAATAATAGTGGCTCA